ATTATTTTTGTTTTTACAGCTTTTAGAYGTATTGAAGTTTTACACAGGCTTTGAAATCAATGATGTGACTGGTAAGTGGTAGGTTGCTGGTTTAGGGTTTGGTAAGTGGTGGGTGTGTTAGGTAGGTTTAGCTGGATTGGTAGAGTACTTGTTAATTGGGTTAGGTTGCCATAATATTGGGTACATGTAGGTATTTATGGATGTTTGTAGATAGATTGTTGGTGATTGATTGCTTGGGTGTTGTAAGGGGATTCTCAAAGTTATTAAATTCATAATTACATCTCTTTGCTAAGGTTTCACTTGACTTATTGCTTTTCCAGAGCTATGAAGCTGGCTCTAATTATAGTGTTAATTAAACCATTGCTATTTTCTAGGAATGCCACTRACAGACCATGAAATGGTAGACATTCATTATGACAAGATGGGTTCTTTACAAGTAAGTACCTCTGTGATTYCATCCCTTAACCCTGAGAAAATTAAAGTCTAATTTTTTGTTTTTTAAGTGAACATTTAAATCTTCCATATGCTCACTCTACCATTTTCTGACTATTTTCACAGAGAGCAGTGTTCAAGTACTTTCCAGAGCTACAAGAATTTGCCATGAGTAACATTGCAGGGATAGACACACGGGACTCACTTTTACAACACTTTGGAAAGCTCTCGTAAGTACAGGTGCAGCACAGTTGTAATTTTTTATACTAAATAGGCCCTTCATTGCAGTATTTTTAAGTAATCACATGATCAATTCAATGGACATTTTGATTCCCATGGGTGAAATGTACTGGAGAGCTAACAAACTTTCTACATCCTGTTTCAGGAGATCATGATAAAACTGCACATTTTAGTAACACACTGGTTACACATCGTTTCATTCAGTTCCTCACAAGTAGCTAAAAAGAATCACCAATTTAAAACAAAAACAAAAAAATTGCTCTCCAGTACAGACACGTTCACGACCTTCAACCACAAAGGGCCTATTGTAACAAAACTCACATTAATGATGAAATCAAACACAAGCCATTCTAACAAAGTTGCAAGGTACAAATTTAATGTGAAGAATTCTTCAAAGCTGCCTTGCGCCACCTAACTAGTTGTTTCGTTTTGGCCAATGAACTGAGAAAGTGTCCTACAAAAATAAACGTTTAAATCAGGAAAAAGAAGTCAATACCTAACTAATACCCCAGCCGTTATTTTCTTTTAATCCCAGGGACAAGACTTTGAACAATATTGCTGTTTAYCTCAAGCTACTTGCTTCTCCTACTGACAGTCATGCTGAAGAAAACAGAGARTTCTTGCTGGAAATGCTGGTACTATAAAAATACTTCTGATTTTCTTCATTTTCAATTTGTGTTGATACTTGGCTACGTTCCTAAGTTTTGTCAATTCTTTTCGGTTTTTGTTTCACTGGAATTCATAGTTCTGACTTAAAGAACAGCAGATCAATCATTGACTACAGGATTTTGAGGCAATTTTCTTTTATTTTCACAGAACGGTAAACAATATTAAAACAATCAATTTTCCACAATCAGAGTTTTAATTTCTGAGATATTCTAGCCAATGTTTTGAGCTTGTGGAACATAGCAACAGTWACTAAGAGGAGTCAGAAACATGAATTATTGTTTAGTCTTTCATATTGCACAACGTAAGAGCAATATTATTTATTTGGGGTCTGGAAATTATACATTCTTTGGATCTTATTATTTAATTTTCCAGCACATAAACTCTATATTTTGTTGTCATCAGATATCAAGACATGAAAGAAGGTTGTCTCAGATTGACGCTATAAATGACATGCCATTGTACCCTACAGAACAGGTGATCACACA